CGGGATATGCCCAGAGTCACGGAACGGATTAAGTTCGTATCCCGAGGTACCACTGTACTTGGAAAATTATGGGCCTCTTTCACATTTCATGCATTAATGAAATGAGTATGGAAAGTTCTATTTCAGCTTTGAAGGTTAGTGAAGCCCCTTGAGCAAATCAGTGACTGAATTTGTATATGATAATAACTTTTCCCTCCTAACTTTGGACTTGACCATGAGATAATGTGAAGCATCCAATTCAGTTTTCAAATAGTTGCAGTTTGTTGTTGCATCTAAACTACAGGTAGTCCTTGGGTTAAAAATGCCTGGCTTAAGGATGACCCATAGTTAAGAACAGAGCCTGTTGTAGCAAAATCCAAGTTAAACACACAATTATTCGAGTTAAATACCCAACGGTTTGAGTTAATTACACAATACTACTTATACAGCATTATACAATAATACTGTCCCGGCTTACGTTCAAAGCTGACTTAAGGACAGAGCTTGGGAATGGAACCTGTTCTTAAACTGGAGACTACCTGTACTTTGTAAGAAAAATGCAGTTTTAAATTGAGAATTATGGTCTTGGCTTGCTCAGATACAATATATTTAAAATTAACTATGTTTTCCAATTTGTACAAGATAAGAAGCTATAGTTAGTTACAAAAGAAGGCAAATATTCCAGTCTCTTCAAGGTTGAGCCAAAGGGAAAGAAATGGAGCAGGTTTATGGAAACTGCTAAATTATGAATAATTGTTAGGCTTGATCCAGAGCATTATCTGTTCAGCATTACGCATTGTGTAGCTTGAAGTACATTACTTTGAAGTCCTAGTAGAGTGGATAGAATACAGTTCTTTAAAGTTTAAATCAAAAGTCAGTATAGTTTTAGAGATTAGTTTTATTTTTTTTATAGGAATTTGATTCAATTGCTGTGATATGTGAATTTTATTAGTCTTTCTGTTTTTTCATTTAACATGTTGGAACACTTTTTTCCCTCTAATCAGAACTCACACAAATAGAGGACCCAAGAGAGCAGTGGAGAAGAGAGCAGGAGCGCATGCTAAAGGAGTATTTAATTGTTGCCCAGAAAGCACTTAATGCCAAAAAGGAAATTTATCAAATTAAGCAGCAGCGATTTGAGCTAGCACAAGAAGAGTATCAGCAATTGAATAAAATGTGTGAGGATGACAGTCACTCTTATGCAAGCAGTAAGTTGCATTTCCTCTTCAAATAATATGAATTTGCATGTTACAATTTTATATATTTTAGCTAGATTAAAAATTCCGACCTTCCAAAAATGGTTCTTGAAATACGGATACCTTAAAAAAACCAAAGGTGAAACTATTATTCTTCTGTTGCTCGAGAAAAAATGGTTTGATTTTTAAAAAGAGGAGATTGTACCAATCTCTGCATTCTTTATGGAATAAGAAGCTGGTTCTTTACTTGTATTGCTTTGCTTTCAAGGGATATAAAATAATTTAAGACATAACTTTTATTTTTTTATTTAATTTTTCCTTTATTTTATAATGAAAAACAAAAACAAAAAGGAATAAAACAGATACATACATTATAAAAAATGTTACATAACAAGTGCTTAAAAATAAGTGGGAAAAATAATAAAAAAGAAAATATAAAGTATATGTTGTTACAATAAAGTTACAATTCTGTATATATTTATCTAATGCAAATAGTATGCATATATATATTTATTTGTAATACAATTATATAATGTGCTTTTTCCTACCCTACTCTATTTTGTATAAATGAGTCTGATATTTCATTTTACTTCTCCATGTATACTTGTAGTATACCTGTCTACATCTATAGGCATAGGTGGCAAGTGTAATCGGGTTTTCAATCCATTGAATAAATGGGACCATACATTTATCTTTCCAGTGCTGCAATATTAGTCATTTAGCCATAGTAAGGGCATGGAGAATCCATTTACATTGTCCGGTTGTCAGATTCCATGTACTAGGTATATAATTCAAGAGAATATGATCCTCTGAAAATTTTAGCTTTTCATGCAGAGTCACATTTATTATGGTCCACTACTTTTTCCCAAAACTTAGTAAGTATAGGATATTGTAAAAACATATGTTTTAAAGAAGCATTATCCTTGTTACATCCCCAACAAAATACTATCTTAGTCCTTTTCTATACAAACGTAATGGAGTCCAATAAATTCTAAGTATTTTTTGTTGTATAAGTTGTAGTTTAAGGTCCATTGACACTTCTGCTATACAGGTGAAACTCGAAAAATTAGAATATCATGCAAATGTTCATTTATGTCAGTACGGCAACTCAAAAG